CCTTCCAGGGAAATACCATCTGTGTTGGCTGGGAACTAAGCTGGCCTCTTGGCTGTTTTGTTTTTCTTTTCACCCTAGCCCCATCCAGAGAGAAGTGCTCAGTTACTGTCAGTCCCTGGGTCTCATCTTTGGGGGCTTTCTGCATGGCTAAAACTTCAGGAGGTCCCTGCAGCCCAAAGCACCACATGCCCTGGTTGTATCAAGGTGGGGGGGGGGATGATGATGATGATGTTTGGTCCATTGCTTTTGCTTATTCTGATGCATCATGTCCTGATGCTCTTGAGCGAAGAGACAGTTGCTGTGCTATCGCTTTGAATTCAGACAGGATCCCGAGTCTCTCTGTAATAGAGGAGGTGAAGCAAAGACTGGTTGGCCCTTTTTCCTAAAGCTTTCTGTTTTAAGGCTCCATCTCAAAAGGAGGTAAGGGGACTCCAGGCACTGCTTGTCTGTGCAAATCCTTCTGACTTCCCAGCCCCAAGGTACAGGTTCTGTGCCTCATGGTGTGCTTTGGTGGGTGGCTGGTTGTGCATGGCAGCTTTAGTAGTCTTGCTTACTGCTGCCTTATTGGAGAAATGTGTCACAGGGCAGAAATCACACTGTAGTGTTGCTCAAGAATTTGGAGGCACGTTGGTACTGTGAACCTAGAAATCATTTGCTTACTGTGCCTGTTGCTGCAGCTCCGGCTATTCCCAGGATTACCTATTGCTGCTTTGGAGGGAACTGCATGACTGCAGGCACTGCAGTTTGCATCTTATACCTCTCTAATTCTGTTTGTTTATGGCCAGCAGCATTTCTTATTTGAAAACCCCTGAGAAAGCTGCAATACAAATGAGCTGAGAAGTGGCGTGTAAAAGGCAGATGACGCCTTGCTCATGCAAAGTTGTGCCGGTGTGGGTGGAGCCCTGAAGGGATGAATACCGCTTTGGTGAAGAGTTTCTCACCCAGGACAGGCTAGCAGCAGTTAATCTTAAGTAGTGGGCAGGCTTGTGCTGGAGGGAGGCTGCTCTGACTTTAAGGAGGATAATGTGCCATTCAGGGTGGGGATGACAGGTGCTTTGCTCACAGATGTGGAGCCCAAAACCACACTCTCCGTCATGCTTGCTGTCTGCCAGAAATGAAAGCTAAGATGTGTCAGGCTTATTTCTGGGAAGAGGGCTTGGTCGTTCCCATCTGGACTGTGATTGCTGTGAAATAGCCCTCAGCTGCCTGGCACCCAGTCTGGAGCAGAGACACCCCCCTCAGTCCCATCCCTTGAGGAGAAAGAGGGTTGTGGGAAAACAAACACCACCCAAAGTGTGTGGTTGGGTGCTTTGGTTGCTTTTGTTTGCTTTTGCAGTCTTCAGCGTGGCATTTCTGTGGAGAAACACTGCTAGCTTTCATTGTACAAGATGCTATTGGTGCATTACATATTTTGTGCTTGTTTTTAAATAAACTCCGGAGCAGAGTCCTGCTCCATTGCCTCCCAGAAGGCTGTCGTGCTCTGGTGGTACTCATGAACAAAAGGCAACTCCATAACAGCCACTTGTTTGTGCCTAGGAATGAAGCTGACCCTTATCCCAAAAGTCTTCCAGTTTTTTTTTGTGGTTTTCTGAGTGCAGGCCAGTCATTGCTGCGTGCTCCCCTGCCTGGCTGCACGTTCCTGCTGCTCCCACCCCTCCAGTAGTATCCGCTGGCCTCTGCTCAGGAAGCTGCACATGGTGCACGTCTTCTTCCCTTCCCTCCTTTACTTCTTGTTGTTTGCTTGCTAGACAGCAGTGCTGGCTCTGGTGAGGAGTTAACAAAACATGAGCTGGGAGGGGAGTGGGAAGCCAGGATGTCACTTGTCTGTCTGAGGTCTGCATAGACTGTCTGGGGTGGGAGTTCAGCAGGTCGGGTTTCGTTTTGTGTTATTGAAGCTGCACAAAAACCAGCAAGAAGCAAGTACAGAGGCCTCTGGAAGACTACTATAGAATGGCAAATGTCTCTGTTCCTTCTTGGTCTCTTCCATCAGTTGAGGTTCTCGCTGGGCTTTTACCTCCTACTTTTCAGAGCAAAACTTTCCCAGCCACCACTGGCTCCTGCATTTTCCTGATGATCTCTATATAAGACAGACATTCAATGGAACAACCTCTGCAGGGCCATGGTAGAGTCCATCACTGGAGGCTTTGGGGATATAATTGGTCAGGGGGCTGGATAGTCTCATTTAAGCTCCTTTTCTCACAAAAGGTTTGACCAGGTGGTCTTTCAAGGTGCCTTCCAACCAGGGTAGCTCTATGACTCTTGTGATCTCCTGGCTATATTTGTTCAGCCTGGAAGTTGCTTTTGTTGTTTATTGTGCTGAATCTGAGAATAAAATCTTCTCTGTGGGAGTGACCTGGTTGTTGGTGTCCCTGCAGTATCATGCTGCTTGGTCTCCAGATGTGCTGCATCTGCTTGTTGTCCACCTACAAGGGTGGTTAGCATAAATACTGGCTTCTCAGATGTTGAAATTATTTGCCCCCAGCTCAGCTTTGTCTCCTCTCTGTTGGCCTAACAAGGGGAGAAGTCAGAAGCTGCTGCACTCAGGGATGAGAAAAGTTGGTTTTCCCAGAGCAACTTGGTATGAAGACTCTCCTGTGGAGCCACCCAGTGCTGTAAGATGGAGAAACCTGATGCAGTTTGGGTTGAAAACCCAGACCAGCAGCATCCCTGGTACAAGCTGGAGTGGTGAAGGCTGGTTCTTGGGCATTATCGGGTTCTGGTGACAATAAGCAGACCTCTCTTTTTTAGAGACCACTACCAATAGGTTGTTTTTGAAATAGCAGTTACATAGCATCCAAAAATCTCCATTGGTCTCTCTGGGGCTTGGCAGGCATCCAGCACACAGCCTTCATTTCACAGGATGTGTTCATGTCTTCCCATCACCCCCAGCCCCTTTGGGGCCCTCTGCCGCACTGCTCACCACTCTGGCTCTCTGCCTGGGTGCCACCACCGCTCCACCTCACATCATGTCCAGCCACTGGGATAAAATCACCCAGTTCTCCTTCAGGCAGGCCCATAAAACTTCAACTGCTGGCCTGTCCTTTCCAAGAAACTCTCCTGGGAGGTGTCTTCTGCTTGTGTTTTCCTTCTCTTCACACCTTCAGGTAAGGAGGTGTCTCATCCCCACTTGAGGTTCTTCAAAAACCCAATTGCCTGTTGGGTTTTTGGGGCTACTGGGTGCTGCTGAAGCCTGTTGAGTAGACATCCCTGCCCTTCTGCTAGCAGTGTTGCTGTGAGGATGTTGGTGTCGGCGGCCACAGATGCTGTCACGTTTTGTGAAGAGGGGCTTCCTGCAGGGTCAGCACATTCCATTGTGCTGGCGCTTCCCCTGCAGATGGCTTCCTCCCTCCTGTGGCACCTAAATATAGCGCGAGGCATTGTGCAAGCATGGTGCTGGTGAGAAAGGCCATCAGGAGGGTCCCAGCCAGAGCTGCTGGGGTGGTGGTTCCATCACCACCTCTCACCACATTGCTCCTTGCGTTGGCAATTGGATTTTTTCGGTGCTGGAGACTTTTTTTTTTTAAAGAGGGAAGAAACGGGAGTCAAAATTCACCCTTTGCCAAGTTTGACATATCCATGAGGGGATTTTAAACAAGTCAAGGCTGTTGTTACATATCTGGTTTTTTTTTTAGAGAAGGATTTAACTTGGCTTAACTCTGCTCTCAGCACGTGCCCTTTAGACTTTGCACTTCAATTATCAGAGATTGTTTAAAAGGTAGAAAGATAAGAAAAACCTTAAACATGAAGGGCATGTACAGGCAGTTTTAATCCTGACCTCTGTTTATACTTCAGTGCTGTTCCTAAGGGGGAGTTGACAGACTGATTAATAATTATGAAAGCATTTTGACTCATAGCAGAAGAAAACATTTCATTGGAGGGACATGTCTCCCAAGCACCAGCAAGATTCAGTGTTGTTGCTGTTACCTCTGGATGCCCCATATATGTTTATTCTTATTATGAGTTCTCTTTTTTCCCCTCACTGTCAGTTAAAAATGGTGACTGCAGTCTTGCCTCATTTGTAATTATTTCTTTATTTTTTTGTATGTGTCAAATTGCTTTTGGATGGAAAGTAGGATTCACTTACAGAGTAGTGGAACCACAATACTCGAGAGTATTAATTAACCCAAAAATGCACTAAATATATGGGATACACCAGGAGAAAGCTGTGTTTTTGGGAAAGCAAACAAATCTAACTGAACTGGGAGCACTTGGCTGAGTAATCACCACGGCCTCACCAATCTCATGGTTGGTGAGACCGTGGTGATTACTTGCAGTAGCAGAGCTGAGCCTTGAGCTGAGCTCTTGTTTCCTGAATCAATAAACTTTTATTCCTATGTTTTTTGAGCTCCCACACCCAGTGCCTTGTTTCCAAGCTTTGAAGTAGTTGTGGAGTAAGATGGCTGTGCAGATTTAATAAGTTGAAGTGAAATACATCATCTTCTCTGTAGAAGAATTTACAACAAACAAAATCCAGATAATATTAAATTAAGCAGAGATGCTTAAGCAGTGCTTTTCTCTTAGTTTTGTGGCTCGTCTGTCTTTAAAATGCTAGTTGGATAAATTTGTATGATGTTTAATAGAAATAAACCATATGCCTTATTGTTTATTTTAAAGATATGCTAACTAATCATTTTCATCTCCTCTGCTTAAATATTTAAAACAGTATGCTATGAGAACTCGCATACTACAGGTTTGAGGAAAGCCTTGTCTTGCCTGCTGCATCCTCTGCCTATTACTACTTGAGTCTTCTGTTTCCTGATGGGATGTGGGCTTTTTAAAGTTTTGTTGCTAGCAGCCTCACACAGTTTCAGACCTGATCTGTGTTGTGTTATGTTGTGTTGTTCTTCTATGTCTGCTGCCACCTCTGCTCCTATCTCCCAGGCTTTAATTCTGCACACATGTAATTAGGCTGCCCAGGGGCCAGAATAGCCATCCAGGAGCTGGGATACTGCTGTACAAAGCTTTACAGTAACGCTTCTGCTTCTCACTCTCACTTGCAGGAATCTACATCCTGATTGCAGTTGGAGCTGTGATGATGTTTGTGGGGTTCCTGGGATGCTATGGTGCTATTCAGGAGTCTCAGTGCCTTCTGGGAACGGTAAGAGTGCAAAGCTTTGGATGCTGCTTGGCAGCTTGGTGTCCTGGCAAGCAGTACGTGGCCATGCATCCCTTGCTGGAGAATCTTCCAACACACAGGGCTGGGAAGATGCATGAGGACAGAGACAGAAATAGCTGATCTCTGCAAGGGGCATGGCAGTGCTGCTTGGCTGAGGGCATCTCTGCCCAGCCCGCTGAGCTCTGCCTCAGCTGGCGGGCATGCTGCAAGTTCCTGCTTGTGCCTGGCTGCAGTAAGGAGGCTGAAGCCAGCAGCATAGCAGAAGAGGTGCAAACAGCAAGAGCCAAGATTAATTTTCTCTGTTATGTGTGACACCCCCCACCCCACCCCACCCCCCCCCCCCCGCATTTATTCCCCCCGCACAGTCTGGCTGTCCAACCAAGCACCTACCAACCCTTTTTTCTTACCTGCTGTCCCCTACCTACAGCTTCTCCTTTCGCTCTGTTTTAAGGCTGCCTGTGACAATTCCAGTTCTTTTAAGGAGTTATCCACTATTTTTATCTGTTTGGATGAGAACACAGCAAAGATTTCCCACAATATCTTAGTGAGGATGTCCTGGAAGATCCATTACTGAAGTGCTGCAGGCGTCCTTGGTGTGAGGCAGCAGCTCAGGATTCCTGGCATGGGATGAGGTTAATTGTGTAAACTGTAGCCACACCAAAAGCCTTTGCCTTGGGGGTAGGTAAGGGAGACCTATTTATTTAAAGCAAGTTCTGACATGTAGTTCAGCTTTAAACTCAATTTAAAAAAGAAAAAGAAAAAGGGGTAAAACAAACAAAAAAAAGCCCACAAACAACAACAACAAATGGGAGGGATTTTCCAGCGCTTGGCTTTGTTGGGCTGGAAGATTCTTGGTGGTGGTGTAGTGACCCATGGGTGTGGACACAGCTGGGACAAAGGGAAATGGAGCTCCTTTGCCTCGCTTTCGCAGCTGACTTCACCTCTGGTTGCTTGTTTCCCAGTAAGAAGGGGGTGCTTCTCCCCAGCTTTTATAAAGCACTTCTGAACACTGGTGGATGAGAGCTGCGTTAGGAGTTTGCAGGCATTATCACTGAGCTGAGAAGAGGAGGAGCAAGTGCACAAATCCGACAGGGGTGGTTGTAGTAAGGTCTGGCAGCTTTGGATTATCATTTTTGTTAGCACAAGTGATTACAGAACCTGAATTACCCCTCACTCCCTCCTGAAGTTGGAAAGAGGATTAGAAGGGCAGATGGTACAACATAGCCGAGGTCTAACAGGGAAACCGGCTGCTTTGGCTGAAATTAGCAGCTCTGGCCCCTGTGTGCTTGCCTGTGTTTGATCACACCTTGGCCTGACAAGAGAAGGCTGGAGATACCTCATGGTGACGCTTTCCACTGGCCAAGGGTCCCACCACGCTCCAAGAACATTTCCAGGCAGTGTCCTCAGGGTGTTGCAGGGAAACAGCCACTTCCCCTCTCCTGCAGCCAGCCAATGAAGTGACTGTAGCCTTGCTGCAAAAGGGAAAAGTACCAGGAGGTTCCATGCCATTAAAATCCTGTGCCAAAGGCAGCATGAAAGCTGAGCAGCAAGACCCAGGGAAGGCAGAAGGGAGCCACTCGATATGGAGGGCGTATATGACCGCTTGGCCAGGAACACAGCTGTATTCACATGGTGGCAAGCTGCACCTCTGGTGCTTTGCAGCCACCTTCCAGAACTTCTGCAGGAAGTTGTACCTCCAGATCTGGGGTAAAGGAGACATCCTTCACAAGAGTGAGCCCTAGTGCTTAACCAGAGAATTACAGGGGCATTGTGCCCACAATTTAGGGTGATACGGCTTCTTGGGGGAATGTGGGATCCAGTCCCTCAAAGATGGTCCAGAAGATTCAGGGATATATAGGTATTTAAATAGGAGTTGTTTATTTGGGGACTGGATATGGATGTTGGAAGTTTTTTCCTACTGTCAGGTCAATAGTCCTGTTTCCATTTTGCTGCTAACCCTTTGCTCTTGCATGTGAGAGCCAGGTCACAGCATCATTCTGGAAACTCCCATTTACTCTGTGAAGAAAATGTGTGTGAAACAGAGACTTCCCAGGAGTCAAGGGCTGTTGTCCCACCCCATAATGTGCTTTTGTCTTCCCCTAACTGCATTCATCTCTTTTGCCTTTTTACTTCCATGGCAGTTCTCCCAGTTTGGGGCTTTTCCCAGGAAAAGTCACCGAGGGTCATGTTATCATGGAGGTAATGTTGCTGCGTGTGGAGCGTGCCTCTCAGTGCCTTCTCACTTGACTCTGATGTATAAGCTTTATGTCTTCCCATTCCCAGTCTAACAGACTGACTGTCACAAGGTGTTCCTGAAATCTGAACAAAATGATGGCGGGAGGCTTTGGGAGAATGGCAGGGAGGAGTGTTGGAATTGCACAAACGGGGTGGGACTGTGGGAAAACATCAGTGTTAGTATTTATGCTAAAAACTACAGTAGCCTTGCAGGGTAGTGGATGCCAAGAGAAGCTGGCCATAAATCACACCCTGACACCACGCAGCTCCTCAGCAGCTGAAATGTTGCTTTTAACCCTGCACTAGCAATTCCCATCCTTGGGGCATCTGTAGCAGAGCAAGAAGCTTCTCTGGATGGTCCTGCAGGTTCACGAAGAGGAGAGATGTGTCTTGCGGTGCACAGAGCATCCTCATCCATGCCAGTCCCTGTGTGGGAAGGGCTCTGGTAATCACTGCTCAGGCATCCCAGTGGGAAGTCTGGGCATGGGGTAGCATCTGGTTTGTTATAGGAAAATGTGTTTGGGCTAAGCATGTTTATGAGTGATAAAAAGGTTTGAAGTCAGGCGACACCTTGTTCCTGTCTCTGTCAGTAGAAGCGCCACTCCACACCTCTACCCACCTAATGGTTGTTTTTGCCTGTAGCCAGTTATGTTAAATGTTCCTCTCTTGATTTGTCTTTGCAGTTCTTCACTTGCCTGGTGATCCTGTTTGCCTGCGAAGTTGCAGCTGGAATTTGGGGATTTGTCAACAAAGACCAAGTAAGACACCTTCAGAGCCTGCATTTGTGGGACTGGGAGGCTGGAGCAGAACCATAGCAGATCCCAGCACAAGCTGTTTTGCTCACGAGCTGCTCTCAGACTGAGTCACAGGGACTTAGATTAGCTGCAAGACCTGGGCAGGTCACCTAACTCCTCATGGCCAGGCTGATGAACTTTAAATGTGAGCGCTTGATGGTAGCAGCTGCCCCTTACAGCATGTAGTGCAATGTCTGGAGTAAAAATAGCCCTTTCTCACTTGGATCTCCTCCTTGCTGCCACACTGTCAGTCACAGAGTGAGTTGATTCACGTATGAAGTCATGAAGGAAAGCCATCTGCACATACTAAATGCCAGAGAGCAAAGAGCAAACCCAGCCACCTGTCCCCGAAGGGAGGGAATGCCATATGGAGGGAGCCTGCATCTGTGTTAACAGGGTTGCTTGGTGCTTCCTGCTCTTTGCCAGTATCACATAACCCACGTCTGGCTGTTGGTCAGCCGGGACTGAGATTGCTTCTGGTTAGTAATGCTGATCACTGCATGCATGAGGGGCAGAAGTTTCTGTCCCAGGCACCCTCCAAGGGACCTCTGGCCAGGATGAGGTCCTCTGGCCAGAAGGGGGGTAGCTAAAGGGTAGGACTTAAATTGCAGCTTTACACCTTCTCTTCACTACAGTCTCATGTGCTCACACATACTGAGTTTGGTCTTGAAGAGCAAAACAATCAGTGTATGAGAGCTGTGGCCATGTTGTGGGCTGGGTGTTGATCCCTCAGCCATTAAGGCTTTGCACAGAACACAGGATAGACTCTCTGGCACAGCAGGAAATGCATTTACTAGGAGATGTAAACTAGACATGTAAGTAGGTGGTGGCCTGCTCAGCTTTCACGTGCATGTAGGCTGCAGATGACCAGCTCAGCCATGAGTGGGAACACCCTTGTAGTCATTCACCAGAGACTGCATGACTTCACTGGAATAAACTCTTCCATGGCTAAACATATTATGCAGGCAGGGTATGTTTCCTAGCAGAAACTAATTGGTGAACTAATTAACCTTTGCAGAGGCTCTGTGTTTCATGGAGATGTTAGTTTGTGAATCCTGAAGAGTCCAAGATGTGCAACAGCAAAAAAAGCAGAGCCTGAGTAAGGAGGCAACACCCCCCCCATGTATGTTGCTTTCCATCCTGGGGAGGAGGTGCTTGGCCATCAGAGCATAAAGCTGAGAAATTTAGGATTTGCCAATACAAGAGCAATGACTTCAGTCCCTAAAATTAATTTTGCAGTTTAAAATGAACAGTGGCAGTCTGTTGGCGTCAGCTGCTTTCACAGCCTGTGTGATGAATGGGGCTGGTTAGAAGTCCCTTCTCACAAGGCAGGCGGCTTGCTTCACCTGACTTTGGCCAGAGTCGTCTGGGGAGCAACACCTGCTGGAGGGAAGTGCTGTGATCTGGCCACCAAGAGCTGCTCCCAGCAGGGGCTTCATTCCACCTGGGTTTGCAGCCCCTGGGGGGACAGTCATCTCCTCTCACACAGGCACAGGGTTGCTCTTCCACAGACGCTTTACGTACAGGATGGGGAGGCAAGAAATAGGATTATTAGTTTATATTTTTCATGTACCAGAATCAAATGCTTTGATTGGAGAACATTGCCCTCCAAAGCAAACTTTCTTGAGCAGTGACAAAGAAATGCTGGGATAATTGATTGAAATTGTGCTCCTTCTTGCTGCTGTTTCTTTTTTTGCTAATCCAGCCTGCACTGCCAAGAGAAAGCATTTTCCCTTCCGTACTTACTCTTTTTTTTTTTTGTTTTGCTTCTCTTGCCATGTCCTCTTTTCATCTTTCTCTCCCAAATTATTGGAGGGTGTTAGAAGAGAAGCCACAAGGCCAGTTTCCCTGAAAATGAACCACCCAAATGAGGCTTTAGTGTCCAATACCCCCCAGATTCCTGCCAGACAGTAAGCCTAGGTGCCCATATCTACTGCAGCTTTGCTTGCACACCCCACCTCCTCCTAACTTCATCAGCATGTCCTGCCTGCTTCTGAAGCCTCAGTGGGACATGTGTTACCTGCTTCCTTTGTCTCCATGTGTCGGGTGTTTCAGAACAAGCTGTTTCTGAGCCAAACAGCAAATCCACATGGGCTGAAGGCTATCTCGGATCTTGTGGTTCACCCTCTGGGCCTTGTCTGTCTTTGCCTGATAGAGAATGCTCGTGGAGCACTTGGATAGCATTTTCTGGAACCTGCTGAGTGGTGGATGAGGTTCTTAATATCTGCTGCTCTTAACACCCTGAGGCTGGAGGGACTTAGGCCCTGTGAAAGACAGGGCTATTTTCATCACACACCTGTGCAAATAAATGGGGTGCAAATCTATTTAAAAACTGCTCTTCTACCTGTGTGTGCCATTGGAAGGAACCTTTCCCTTTCAGACACCGAACCCATCCACTGGATGGGTTTCCTTCTCTTCTGCCTGAAAGGGAGTTTTTCCTCCTGTCTTTCCTAGATAGCCAAAGATGTGAAGCAGTTCTACGATCAAGCATTTCAACAGGCGCTCATGGCAGAGTCAGACGCAAACAACGGCAAAGCTGTGGTGAAGACCTTTCATGAAACGGTAGGATGTCAGCAGTCTTGCTGCATACTCTGCTCAGGCCACATGCAGTTGGCCAAAGCACCTGCTGATAGATAGGATCTTGCATGCTGTGAATGACACACAGTTAACTTCTGCATGTGGTTTGTCAGTGGTGAGCAATGGCTGTCTCTGCGCACAGACTGATCGTCCGCACTGAGGCAGAAGCAGTAAGTTGAGCTACGAGTCCTCGGGCGGGGAGTGAAGGCAACACTGGATTTTTCGATGCTTAGGAAGTGGATCAAATGTGTTTGTGTTCTCAGCACTGGGATTTTGCTGCCTGCTTACCAAGTAGAAATCTCCCCTCCATAGCAGTTTCTTGCAGCCAGAGGAAATGAGAATGTGGGAGGAAGGAGGATTAAAAACAGGGATCAGGAATGAATAGGAAAAGCAGGGTCTAAAGCAGATGGTCCTACATGCCTGTCAAGTTTGCTGTTCTCACATGTCAAGAAGGAGAGTTGTGCCCTCTTCAGTATTCTGCCCTTCACACTGTGCTGGGAAGTCTGCCTCAAGCTCTAATTAAGTTGCTTTTCATTTACCTCAGCACCCCTGATTTAAGTAAAATAAAATGGAAGAAAAATATTGCTCTAAGGAACTATTCCCAATACTTCCTCTGCTCAGCAGGAAGCAAAATCTCTGGAGAGAGTTGGGTTCACTCTCCAGGATACCAACATCAGCTCTGTCTGCCACTATTGCAGGAAGCAGCTGCATTTCATGGAAAGAAAAAATTAATTTGGAGAGTTATTCCCCCTCCCTTGTTTTCCCCTCCAAGATGCTTCCTCAGTTGTGGGTAGCTTCAAGGATGTTTAATGGTGGGGAGAGCACTGCATGAGTGTTTGCTTCTCCTAATGATGTTTTTTTGTTGGGTTGTTTGGGGTTTTTTTCCCCTCTCTACATACAGCTGGACTGCTGTGGTCCTGATAATGTAATAGGAGCTACCGCTCCCCTGTGGAGAGAAGACCTCTGCTCAAGAAAGGACTCCATCCTGAAAACCTTTGAGGTAGGCATGGTTGCTTTTTGCTCAGTGCAGCCCATGTGAGGAAACCTGGCTGCCAGGGAAATTTGGGGATTTACTGGGAATTAGGTTAAAGGGTAGAGATTTAATTTGTTTGGTGATGGTGTAGAGGGATGTTGGAGGTTCCTGTCAGTTCTTTCTTTGCTGTTCCTGCTTGAGGGGCTGACAGGCACAGAGGGGTGAAGTCTGGTGGGAAGTCCTAGAGTCATGACCCAGGAACATAAGTGGGACTGGAGAAAGCAGACTTGCCTCTCTGGGTACCAGGGGCAGGCAAGGGGAGAGCAGGCTCTCTGACCAGCATGCTTTTCTGCTTCAGACCGTCAACTGCCACAAAAAAATTGATGAGCTGTTCTCCGGGAAGCTGTATGTGATCGGTATTGTTGCCATCGTGGTCGCTGTGATCATGGTAAGTGTGACTGTGTAGTGCCCTGCTGTTGTGAGATGGGAAAAAGCCACCTCAGGATGCCCTCATCCTGTTCCAGCTAGGCTGGATCCATCCCTCTCCTCCACATGCCCCTGAGGCTCAACGGCAGTGGCAGCCCTTTGCACACCAGCTGCTCTGGGATGTGGCAAGACAGAGGGCTTTGTCACCCCTCTGCGGGGTTGGGATGTTAGAGCAGGCTTCTGGTGAGCACCTGCAACCCCATCCAGAAGGGCAGAGCACCAGTGAGCCTCTTCTCTGCCTCCAAACCCCTTTGTTTCTCAGGCTGCCATGCTTTGTCGCTGCAGCCTGCAGTGGGAGGGGATTTGCGTTCTTTGACATGGTGGGATTGCTCCCCAGTGAGTGGTGGGTGGCATGGGCTGGTAACCCAGTTTGTGCGCAGAGGCTGGGCTGTAATACCTGGGGGGATCTTGAAGCATTTGCTGCATAGCTGCCATGCTTGCAAAGTAACCACCACTGCTGCCAGCTAGAGGGGAGAACATCATCTTATCTCGAATGACCAACTGCTAATGAAAACTGAATTGAAGACACAGGACCTCCGCCCTTGTCTTCGGCATGAGAGTGTTCATATGGCACGGGGGAGCTCCTGCATTGTTCTTATTGGTGCCTCACTGGTGCTCCTATGTCTCCCAACAGATCTTTGAAATGATCCTGAGCATGGTGCTGTGCTGCGGCATAAGGAACAGCTCCGTCTACTGAGCCGTGAGATGGGGAGGGGAAGGGGGGAGCAGAGCAGATGGCGCTAGAGGGGACCCCAAGTGCCACCAAGTGACCATGAGACATTTCAACAAAAGACAACTATGTATATAAATACTTCAATATTACCGTACAGTACTCACCATTTTTATTTTGAAGTACTTTTTTTTTAATAAATGAAACTCTCCCATATCCTTGTGGCTGAATTAGTTACACATCAGTTTTGTGTGATGGGGAAAGCAGCTGTAGCAGGAGATGAGTCTTTCCTCCCTCTTCCCCACCCTCTGTAATTCAGAAATAACGCTGGCAGAAGATGTACAGGGGAGAAAGCTGCAGCCTGTTATCAGAAAACTTTGCCTTGATTTTTACTCTCTTTTTCAATTCCAACTTTTTTTATACACATAATTGGATGCTGAAGCAGAATTTAGCTTTTTTTTGTTCATTTGTACTCATCTTTTCCTAGCATTGCCCCACCTCCCTTGGAGAGTGGAGAACAAATAGCCCCTGTCGCCTTGGTGCGACATGTTCCAGGGTAAATGCAGGTGTATTGTTCCTCTCCAACCTGTTTGCATCAGTATGCCAGTTCTTAACAGAAGTCATTCTTAAATTTTACTCTCTGATGAGTGGGAATGTCTTTGGCTTTTGGGATTTTTTTATTGGGTTTTGGTTTGTTTTTTTTTTTGGTTCAGCTGTAACTTTATAAATTGGCTCATTTTCATTGATTCACTGTATTAAAGGGTCAGTGTCTGGGGGTGAATTTTAGTTCTGGTTTTTCAAATATAAAAAAAAAATTGGGTCACTTTTAACCTTCTTCAGTGTTATTTTATAAACATGTTTTGGGAAGAGTCTGGTTGTGTACTAAGTTTCTGCTGTTAGGCTAATTCTTGCATAAAAATGATATTGGATAAAAGAGGAAATTTTTTTTTAAAAAAAGAAGTCCTCAACCTTAGAAATCCTGCATTTATGTATTGCAGGATGATGCTTGGGGGTTCCCAGCCATATGCATATGTGTTTAAACTATCATCTTTGCATCACTCTCTTGTGTAGTTTTCCTTACTTGTATTGTTGCACACTGTAATATTGCTGGGAAATTGTCATAACCTGACCTGGGGAGAAAATAAAACAGTTTATTTTTAAGACCTTCCATTTACATCAACGGCAGGAGATAAGCTTATCAAAGCAAGAGAATTGAGGATTTTAGATTGTACCAGGTGAAACACTTTCTTGTAGCCTGGTAAGCTTTGATTGCCAATTCGATGTACGTGGCTTCTGTTGTATGCCACTCCACTACCATGTAGATAGAGGGGGAGAATAACCCAGAAGCTATGTAATAAAATCAGTGTCTCTAAAAAGATGATCTATATGTATAGTTCTATAGATATATATTTTTAAGCAAAGCCTTTTCCTTAGCCATACAAGCACTTGAGATAGAAATTATAGTATCTCTCAGCTCTCTGCCACCTTGAAGCAGATAAGGGGAGGAAATGAAACCACTGCTCACCACCCCCACTTCAGGAATATTTCTGTTTCTGAAAGTATTTCACTCGCCCCCTTCATTGCAAGAAAGAGCTTTAGACAGGATAGGGAGCGAGACCTGTGATTATTTTACATGAGTATCTTATCCACTGCATATGGCTGCCATGGCCTTTGCCACTACAGGATAGGAAATTCCTGCGCTGGGGTAAACTGATCCATTCGGAGGCTTCCCTCCCCTTCTACTCCCCCCTTTCCTCTTCCTACCTTTTAGTATACAGGGCCTTTAAAAAGTATATAGGTGAAAATAAATATATATATATATATATCAAGTTGTGCTGGATAAGAGGAGGAAGTGCTTTAGCATTACTTCAGATTGAGGGGTTGGACATAAAAAGATTCAGCCTTAGAAATAGCCTTAAAGCAACACTGCCCTGAATGTCCACACTGTGCACATCAAGAATGAGACAAGTTTTGCAGTAGGTAACACCTTCCCGGTTCCCCAGTGTAGCTCCTTCAGGTCATGTACTCTGTTCTGTGGCTGTATGTATATGCATCAACCAAGCATGGGTGTTTACATATATGTGCATTGGGATTGTTAGCATACAGAATGGATGTGTAACTTGCTGCCTTTTTTGTTGAGTGTTGATAAATGATATAAATATGCCATTAAGCATTTCAATTTGTTTTCTTTCCTTATACCGTATTTTTTATATTGTTCAGTATTCAGTTGATGCTGCATATGTAGCTGGAGCTCTGTTTGAAGATGGACTGGGTCTCGGTGTAGGTTAGGTGTATCCTTGGACATTGTAGCTTTAGGAGTCTGGGTTGTTCCAAGCAGGAGCAGTAGTGAGAAAGTGGTACTTGGAGAGAGGGAGTCTGAGAGCTGTGGGAGGAAGAATAGCAGGAAGTTAACCTCAGACAGTGTTCCACCTGGACTTCAGTTTGCTTGCAGGCTTATTTCAGAGGCTGTTTGTCGCTGTGGGGAGCTCTAGAGGCAGCTCCCTTGGCCACCTCCTGTCTCTGTGGCTGCTGCAGGAAAGGTGCTGTGGGAGGGGAACAGCCAGTGGCTGGGAAGGTCATGGGAAAGGGCAGAGGGGTTTTGCAGGGAGAGGGTAATGCTTTCCATAGAGTTACGAGTGGTCATCATGTTCAGTGGTCATCAGCGGTAGCAGGAGGGGTCAGCCCTGTGAGAAGAGGGACAGAGAGGACTTACCATGCTTAAGAACTGAAGTAGCTGAGAAACCCTCACAGAAAAACACTACTCACTTGGGTCTCCACTAGTCTGGCCTCCTGTGAAGCTGGACTTGCGTTAAATCGAGCTAGAAAGGGAGCTGTGAAGGGCTGAGGGGACTCGCCCTGTTGGAAGCACTCGGGATCCAAAAGAGACAGGGCTCTCCTGCCAGTTGGTCAGTCCCAAAGCTGGCTGAGGTGAAGGGGGAAGAAACAGTAGGTAGGACCCGTGCCCTGCTTCAGACCCTCTCCTGCATACCTGCACATTTGTGTGCGCAACATGGGGCATTGTTCTGCTCCCCTCTATGCTCCTAAAAAACAAGCTGTGGATGAAATTGTGGGCTGTAAATGCAAACCCCTCCCTCTCCAGGGAAGCATCCTCCTGGACCTAGCGACAGCTGAGAAAATGGCTGTGAGCTGAGGCAGGGAGGAGGAGAGAGACTGATGGGGGAGAGTTGAGTCAACTGTCCAGGTCTGAATTGAAAGACCACATCGAAAAGTCAAACAGAGCCGCTGATAGCTTAACTGAATGCTTGGGATTTTTTCATACTGTGGAGCATGCCACAAAGCAGTGTGTTTAACTTCTTTCTGCCTTTTTTTCTTTTTTCTTTTTTTTTTTTAAGAAATGAAACAAAAATCAATTTAATAAATATTTCTCATAGTGTGCATTGTGTGATGAACCACTATGGTTTTACAACCAGTTAACCTTAACACCAGGATGCTTTGTGAACCAGGCTTCAACAGCATGGGTTATTCCAGCCTCTGTGAGGGGGGCCTGCAAGCAGGCTGGGGATGCATCCAGAATGGTGCTGAGGGAAGGCAAAAAGGTTGCTTGCTGGCAGCGGTGGCTGCTGCAATTGTGCCTTCCTTTAAGGGAAGGGAGGGCACAGCTGTGGAGGAGTTACTGTGGATTGCAAAAATAGGGTGACTGTGTTGAAAGAGGGCTGCAGTGGCAGTACTGCACACACTCCAGGTCTCCTGAAGTGACCCCAAATGGCCCAAAATGCCCTCTGCTGCCAGCCAGTTGGGGGCTGGTCTGATTTTCATGGATGGTTTGGTAATGCCACCATTGCTGCCACCACCCATCCCTCTGAACCACTAGGGGAAAGCCCGGCTGAGAGCCAGGGGAGAGGCCAAGTGCTGTGATCCCACAGCTGCCTGCCTTTCTCTGCCCTGGCTTGGACTTCTTGCTGTGTTTGAAGCAGGAGTGTCCCACAGCAGCTGCCAGCCATTGCCCATGGTGGTATGGAGAGGGAGGGAGAGCAATGTCCAGCTGCTGCAAAGAAAAGCAAGAGCTGCTCCCAGCAGCTGTGCATGTGCTACAAGATCATGCCCATCTGTTGTTCTTTCACTTGTTTACCTGAATGTTAATGGAGTCGGACATAATGACTTCTGGAAAGAAAAAAAGTTGTATTTAAAAACAATAAAAAAAGAAACAAAGCAAACCCCTTGTTACTGGATTTTTAATGATGTGTTGTCAGATCTTGTTTCTTTCCATCACACACAGATTTGTGTCATGTCTCCCAGAGGAACAGGCTTGTCTCTTTCTTGTATTCGTGCAAAATTTGGGCTACAGGCAATGCAGTCCTTAGCTGACCCTTCTAGGTGATTTCCTGTGAATGTGATTCTCTTTCCTTCATGCCTTAAAACATTTGGATTGTGGTGTTCTGTTGTTGCTCCAGATGGGGATAAATTATTCCTGCCTCTGGAGCTAGAATTAAGTTGATATGAGTCACTGTCGGGCTTGGGATGGTGTTCAACAGGGGGAGAAACAACCGTGGAAACGAACAGGCAAAGCACAGCATGTATTTGGCATCCAAGGCGTGTGCCTTGGAACCTCTGCCTGGAAGCATAGCTGGGATCTTAAGCTTCCCTGGCTGAATGCAGTCTCCTCTGTTTGAACTTCAGGTCTGAATATTAACAGTGGCGTACTAGGAACAGATGAGCTGTACATGATGCTTGAGCTGAGATGCTGGGAGAGGACTGGGCAAACCAGGCCCCTTTAAGAGACTGTTAAGTGAAGACATGGGTTATTCTTGGAAAACAGCAGTCCTGCTGTGTAGGAGCATGTGAGGCCACATGGATAAACCACTGTGAGGGGAAGGGGTGGGTGGAATGCTTGCAGCCTACTTGTTCTCATATTGCACTGACAACACTGGCTGAAACTTCCCTTAAATATTCTTCTCCAAAGGTCTGAAAGACTTGGAAACTCACTGGAGACCTTACTGTGGACTTCTGATTCCTAGGAATACTTTCTTTTTTTTTTTTTGAAACAAGAATTTTCACCAAAAACAAAAAAAAAAAAAAACAACCCAAGCATGAATTTTTGTAAACTAGACGTAAGTTGGGATTTTTTTCCAACAGAATTATTTTCCTCCCCACTCCCAAACTGTTTCTTGGAAAAAAAATACAACCTCTAGACTGTTTCTAATTAGAAGTTTTGGAGGTTATTTTTTGCTTGTGAGCTCTGTTTCTTACGCTGCTTCTGGGCTGTTTGTGTTGTAAGTAGCAACGTGCCTGATTGTTTCCTAGGAAGACAACTGTGACCAATATGTATCAACTGGTTATGTCCCTTCCCTAGTAAGAGGCTGTCTACGCTCTAACCAAGATTTGCAGTGTTCCCACAGGAGGGAAAAAACCCCAGCCAGCTCTCAGCAAGCACTGATTATGGTGCAGGTTTCTGTGAGGAAAGCACTCTCCCTGTGCCTGCCAGCTACCCTTGCCTGGCTCTGATGAAGGATGTGCTCTGACCTGCTATTTCCCTTGCTGGGCATGGCAGCGTGGCCCTTCCTGTCAAGAGAAAGGAGGGAGTTTCAGCTCCAGAGCAAGCTGCTGACAACAGAGGAGACTGTTCTGAGAAAAAAAAAAAAAAAAAGTGAGTGTTTTAACAACTTCATTTGCTGGCAGGGCTGAAACTGGCTGCACCAGAGAAGATTCAGGAGGCAAGAGTGGAAATATGGCCCAGTGAAAGAACATCTGCCATCAGTGGGTGCCAGAGCACAGAGTGAACTAATAAACTACCTGACCAAGTCATGATTAAGTGAATAAAGCCACAGGCTAGAACCCCCAAATCCCAGCTGTACCATGCTGTGCAGTTGAACTAGAGGCTGTGTATTGTTGTCTGACTCCCAGCCTGGGAGCATCAAGTTACCTTGCACTGGGCATAACCAAAGCAGGAGGGCACAGAAGTGCTGTTCTAGTGCGAGCTCTTGAGGCAGCTTCTGGCAGCTTGTCTGAAGCACGGGCAGCTCGATGCTTTTGCTTCAGAGCTTAGGGACTTGGAGCAAACAGAAAACAACTCCCAGTGCTGAGACTGCTGCATAACTGAAACCCATGATGTTTTCACACTTGCAGATACACTATAGGGTACACAAACTTTACAGCCAGGTGTACTAGTGTGGACTGCCTGGCATTTCTCCCTGAGTTTTAATGACCCAGTGCCAGTGGTTGCAAGTAACATTTCTAATTAATCACACCTTTTCTTAAAAAAAAAACATGTTTCTTGGCCCTGCTCTGCTAGGGCATTCCATCATATTGGAACACAGCTTTGCTAAGTACCAAAGAGGTGTTGGTGTTAGGCCAGGGGAGACGGTGTGCACACAATCCCTCCCTGCCGGCTGTGAGGAAACTGCTAAGATTTCTTCGAGCAAGGGTTAGTGGTGGTAAATCCAAAACCCTGTGTTGGCTACAAAGCTGTGTTGGTTAACAAACTCCTACAGATCATGTTCTAACAAGAGGACTAGGGAGTTCTAGGGTTTTGTGGTTTGGGGGTTTTTGCTTTATGTTAATTTCAAGGCCCTCAGCTGGTTCTAAGGACCTCTTTGAGCCCTTCACTACTGTTACTAGAATGAGGCATGCTGGGGCCAGTGGTAGGAAAGAGAAAAAAAAAGAAACCAGAATTAGGAGAAGGTTGGGGTTTTTTTTTAGTACAAATACTCTGTAGCTAAATCAAAATTAACAGAGACCCCCAACTGGTTTTGTCTCTTTGTAAAATTTCAGTAATTGCAGAGAGTATTAATTTTGCTCTTGACTTCAGTTCCCCTCCCACATAGGCAATGTGTCTAGCAGAAAAAGGGTTGTAGGCTCTCCCTGCAGATCCTCTCCAGATCAGCCACAACATTGTTATTGTGAAGAATCAAGCTGATAAAAACCTTTATAGCCTGTCCACATTAAAACTTGCTCCACAGGAACCAATTTTATGTAGTTATCTTAGTGGGAGAAAGCACCAACATGAACAGCACTGGAATAAATCAAACCTGCTTGCAGGTTAGCCAGAAGCAAATGCAAGCACAAGGGTAAGCAAAGCTTGGTGTAGAAGAGGCAGTGTCGAGCACTCGATCCTGGAAACGCACCCTATGGGGGATTTCAAGGCCATCTGTAGGCTTTCCTTCCTGCAAACGATTTCCCAGCAGAGAAGGATGTGGTGGGGACTACTGTGCCTTTTGCTTTTTGCCTACAGGAAAATACTCCTTCCCCTCCCCATTTCTCCTCAGGAGTCCGAGCACCAGCTGCATGTGGCAATACCAGATTAACTTCCACAGTCCTTGTGGACATAGGAGATGGTGAAAATGCATCTAAACGCTCTGTCTGGCTTGCAGGATCTGGGCGACTGCTAGGAATGGCCTGCCACTTTCCCTATAGCTGTGAGGAGAGGAGCCAGGCGCCTACCCCAGGCTCTGAGCAAAGAGCAGCGGAAATACTTACCAGATGGGGACCAAATGACAGATTTATTTGCAAGGACGGAGCATGAGGTTCCCAGTACCAGGGCTGATACTGGTATGTATCTGTACACACTGCTCCTGCATGCAGGGACGCACTGGCTTCCTTCAGACACATGGGGCCATCTCTGTGAAGGAGCTGGACCCTCAGAGCCCACGCACCAGATGCAGCCCACTCGCTTGGATCATGTCCTGCGCTGCAGCTCCGATCCAGCCCCTATCCCTTGTCAAGCCACCTTAGTTCATGCCGGCGAGGGGAAAACGCTTCACCATCTGTTCGTTTTCAGTCTGACTCATTATTTTTATTTCAGCTGCCGCCAAGCAATAGCAAAAATCCCAACACATAAGCATATCGACTGCTGCAGACTGTCTTGTCCTCAGCCACCAGAGAAAAAGCAGCTCACCCCCAGTTCTCTGCAGTGTGTGATAGTAAATTTTCTGCAAAAAGGCAGGAAAAAGGGTACAGTCAGCTTCCAAAGGTGACCTTAATCATCAATATACACAGCATCCAGACAAAAGACAGGAACTTGTAGCCTCTGGAAACAGAGGAATGGGGCTTGTCTCTGAAGGCACCCGCATCCACAGATGATGGAGACAGTGGACGTGATGTTGCCCAATTCTGCCCCTCTAGCCCCTAATCTAGCACTGAACCAGGTTTCTAAACGGAAGAGCACCACTGTTTGCACCAGTCTATGGTGTACCCCGTTTGACTCTAGCCTCACAAAAACAGTGACATGCCACAGTTCACATCCTTTTCTTGCCTGCTCAGAGGCTCACTCCTGTGTGTGACTGACACCCCAGACAGTGCTATGCAGCACCAGCAGGCTTCACCCATAGGTTACTCTTGGCTCCCTTTGTCTGTTTACCACCCTCCTCCTATCCATTCCTGCTCGCCTACCAGAAGACTTGTGTTTTCCCTTCTTCCTCCCTCCAGCTGGGAACGCGCTTGTATGCCTGTAACCATACTACCATATGTGTATACATTAAAAAAAATAGGATCACCAAATGGGGAAACACCTCTCGAGCTGCTGTTTTAAAACTAGAGCATGACTCCAGCTAGACAGAAGACATTGTATGCTAACTTCATCATTGCTGCCAAATGTATTCCAAACACAGCCCTCATAAATTACGGTAGTTAGCAACAGTCCAGCAGGCAAAAGTATGTATTTAAAGACTTTCAATGCAAGTGAAGTGGCTACAGTTTATATTATGGGTGAGTCACAGTGAGGCCCCACTTGAAGGGATCCAGTGAAGTCTCCTTGGCCACAGCCACAGCATTACCTCTAGAACACACACCAGCAAAGCAACCAGTGTTGCAGGGCTGGGATGCCATGAGGGGAAATTAGTGCCACTAGAATCAAAGCAAGACTACAAGGCAATTTCTTTTGTTGCAGAATGACAGCATAGATGAGCTTTGCAAATGGCCTATAGAAAATCCATCAGAATGGAGTGACCTGAAGGTATGACATTACAGGCTCACAGCCTTTACAGGAACTAACTTAATGATGAAGCCACAGGGTCAGGCAAAGCAGTTAAGAGAGCAGCAGCCAGGGAAAGGGTGGAGATGAGTCCTGCAAGGTGCAGGGCCACGTCCTGGCACAGTTCGCAGGCACTGCAAGCCTGATCTTTTTAACACATGCTAAATACTGCAACCGCTTGGGAAATGTATTTCCATTGAAAATGTGAACTTTCTGTGAAACAAGAAAAAAAAAATAAATCAGCATCAGGCATCACTGGCCAACACCAATAAAACATTTTCAGCCATGATTCCACTTCTTGACACATGCACAAAAAATGTGCTTGTGGGATAGGAAATGGAAACTTTTTTTTTTTTAAATTGATGGGTTTTATGGTTTTATGCCCCAAGTGACTTGGGGTTTTCTGGTTAGAAAATAAATACATTAAAAATGAAAAAAACAACCCAACAATAAAACCAGACACTTCCCCTGAAATTTTCATTGTGGCCAAACCCTGCTTTCCTGATGAGAAAAACGCTCTGCTTGACATGTTTCTTTCCAGACCGCTCAGGGAGGGCTGCCGAGCCCACCCCGCAGCGTTCGGGCCTCAGCCACCGCAGCAGCGGACCCAACACCCCAGGCTCTCCGGAGTGCTCCGGTGAGGCCCCAAACGCGTCCCTGCGCAAGCGGCAGCGCCCCCCTCTCCTCACGGGCTGCAAAATGGCGGCCGGCGCGGTACGCCTTGGGAGCTGTAGTCCACCACCACGGTGGCGGAGCAGAGCGCTCAGCCCCGTTTTCATGTTTTACCCACGCCCGGCTCTCAAAATGTCCCCCGCTGGGGTAGAGGCGGGCGACTACCGCTTCCAGGACGCAAAGGAGAGACACGCTGCGGGAAGCGGCCTCTGCCTCCTGTCCCCTCCTTCCGGGACGCTTTGCATGCTGAGAGTTATAGTCTTCTCGGCGCACACGAGAAGTCCTGTGGCGGCTGGTAGGGACTCAGTGTTCCAGCGTGCCCCGCTGCCGTGGGCGGACGTGTGGGGAGCGGCGGGAAAGGCGGGCTGGCGCTGTAAGGAGGCTTCGGGCCGCGTTGCGTCCGGGTATGGGGCACATCGCCGCCGGTTCTGGGTGTGTGTTTGCGGGTGGCGGCGGGTTGGCGGCCTCCTTGCGCAGCGCTGAGCGGGAGCGCGGGGCTGCAGGCGCCCCGGTGTCGTGAGGAGAAAGGTGTGGGGGCTGTGTCAGCCCTGGCGTGCAGAGAGGACTGGATCGCGGCCCGGGGAAGGGAGCCGGGCTGTGGGCTGCACCTGTGCCGCTGGGCTAGGTCCCGGGCTCTGTCGTTTTCCTTTGCCTGCTGGAGGTGTGAGCCAGGGCCTGGGACTGCTGCCTACTTCCTCGTTGTGGCGGCCTGTGCCAGCACCGTCCCGAAGGTCCGTGCTGTTGTCGATGCGGGGCTGGTGGCAGGCTTTGCTGCAGCGCTGCCTCTGCAGTCAGAGCAGACTCGTGGCCGTGGCTTGGAGTGACAAGGGTCTCTCTTTTCCTCACAGATTGCACAAAGACACATAGAGACTGTTTGAGTAAGACCAGGATGGAAGAGTTTGGTGGGGACCCTCTTATCCAGAGAGATGCTGTCCTGCCTGAGTTGTGCTGTGATTACTTCACCATAACAAACTTGTGAGTCTGTCTGGTGTGCTGTAAGAGCCGGTATGTTTGGCTGCTAACACGTTCAAGGCTCACATGCCTCCTTAGGAACAGTTTTGTTGTTTCTGTCCAGCTGTCCTCAGCCAAGAAATAACCAGGAGCATGTGATGAACACTTCTATTGCCATCTGCAGTGGCTATTTTAGCCAATTTTGTGCTTCGATGTCTCTTTTGAGTACTAATCATTATTTTTCATGTGTTACAAAACTAAACAAAGGAACTAATCAGATTATTAGATCCTATTTAGGGGTTACACTGAAGGCAGGGTTTTCCAAAGCAGTCATCACATCCCTTTTGTCACGGAACACAGCATTTGGTCTGTTGAATTCTTCAGAAGTTTCTCTGTGTTTAATGCCTCTGACCCTAACTGTGAATACAACCTTTCTTTGAAAACAGAACTCTGTGGTAGCCACGGTGTTAGTACTTAAAAGTACTTAATACATGCGATGCATCACTATTATTTATACATTTTTGTAGCTGCATTTAATACTGTACATTTTGTAGTGGTTTACTGTACATGCAAATTACAATTTTTGTTTTTTAAAACCTCTCTTCTGTTCTACAGAATAAGGTTGGCAGTGTGAATGTGGAGGTTGAGTAAATATAGTGGTGCTGCCTTATTAGGCTGTGTGTTGTTGTTTTGCCAAAAATCCAGGAATATCTACAGATTTTTATACCAGCATGAGTTTGTGTCAGATTTAGAACTGAGTTCTGCAGCTTTTGATGACTCAGGGGGAAGGAATTATTTTTAAAACTCATTTTAAAACTACATTTCCAGTATCTTGATGGAAATGTTTGTTTTCTAGGGTGGAAGTGCTGAGATCTTTGGTGGCTTTAACTGACCCTCAGGAGGGGAAGCTGACTCAGTCTCAAGAGAAAGTGAGTGACTAACAGACTTGCCATGTCTGTTTACTGCATCTTTTCAGAAGAACCTATAATTAGGTAGTTGAGCTTATTCTAATAATATATTAGGTCTGTTTCTGTAACTCACGTTTTTGTGAGTTGAGCTGAAGTGTATGTTTGCCAACACTGATTGCCTGGCCAGTGGTAGTGTGATTATCAATGCCTCTGTTCTGCAAGCTTCCCTTCAAGCAGGTGGCAGAATGAATCAGTATTCCAACCGCTACTTGAGTCAGACTTTAAATCACACTGTATTTTTGCTGACTGAAGGGCCAGCTTTTGCAAACCTTTGGTTGCACCTTCCCCTTGTTTCCATGCCCAAGCATGGCATGTGTGATTATTTGTCTTAATCTAGTGGGATTGATTTCTGGACCTGGCTCATTTTCTGGTTCCAAGAATCTCATAATAACATGAGAGTTCAGACCTAAGGAAGAAGTGGAGCTTGTACTTTATGTCACTTTACAGCAGTCTTGAAACTTTAGCCCTGGTATATTGTGGCTTCTGTACCACTGACCTTGACAAGTGATAGTGTCCTTTATAACAGGCAGAATGTAATGATTACTGAGAGAGGAGGTGCAGTGGCTAATGCAATAAATGATCACAATGGCCAAAAAATGTGAGAGATTAGGATATGTTTTATGGATTTATACAGTATGATTAAAGCAGGGTATAATTTGTAGAGGTCATTCCTGTCTCTTGGAAGATATATAAGACAGTTATGGGGTATTTGGATTTGCTCATCTTTATGCTCATCTTTTAGTAATTGGACCTGCTGTAACCTTTAATGAAATTTGGTGGGCAGCGCTGTTTTTAATTACTTCAAATTCTTGTATTGAGTATTGTGTAACTCTTAATGTGCATCAATTCTTTAAATAATGCTTTTATTTGAAGGAAATTGCCTAGGAGTCCCTGAAGTGCAGCTGCCTGTTGTATTGCAGTAGTAATTGTTTTGCATAGCACAAATTGATAGTCTCATACTTGGTTCTCATTTCACGGTTGAATTCTTATGGTTCTTTGTATTCTAGGCACTGAACTCGCTGGTCATTTTGAAACCCGTATTTGCAACTGTTCCTGGGCCTACATCAAAGACCTCAGTGGAGTGGCGGCTTGAAGATGGGAGATCAAGATGCAGGTGAACCCTTTCTGGGGATAGCGGCTGGTGGGGCCAAAGACCACGAAGGAGCTGTACCCTCAGACACAGTGTCCCTCAGTGATTCTGATTCCGATGATTTGGGGTTAGCAGATGAAGCAGAAGTTGATACAGTATCTCCTGAGGAGCCGTCTGTAGATGATGGGGATTACAGATCAGCTGACTCTTCAAACAGCAGTCACAGATCTCCTGTCCAGCCATTCCATCTGAGGGGCATGAGTTCTACGTTCTCCCTCCGTAGCCAGAGCATTTTTGATTGCCTGGAGGAGGCAGCCAAGTTGTCTGTGCCCTCAATGCCTGAAGATAATGTTGTTGATGGGAGGTTTAAACGTCCATTGTCTCCAACTACAGCTGCAGGTAGCATGGTTCTAGAGAGCCTGGGAAAGCAAGTCAAAGCAGTGCAGGCTCCCAAAACCTCTCCTGCAGTGCCTGACTATGTGGCACACCCAGAGCGCTGGACCAAATACAGCCTAGATGGAGTTTCAGAGTCTAGTGACAAGACTAACAGGGCAGTGGCCATGGAATTTCTAGAGGATCTGAAGAAAAGAGGGAAGGAACAAAGCTCAGCTACCCAAGATAGCTACACCCCATACTTCAACCAGGACCCTTCCAGCTGTGGAGCTGGGAGGATTGTCTTCTCCAAACCAGCAAAAAGGGGTGTGGAAAAGAAAACATCATCAGCAGGGGAAGATTATAAGAAATACGTGAAAATGGATATGAAAGGAAAATCTCTTAGGAAGACTGATTTGAGGGAAGAAGATAAGGTAGAGCTGGGACACATAGATAGTGGAAGTGGTAAGGCAACAGAGGAGGAGGAGTTCATGATGGCAGGGGACCTGAATGCAGAAGGTAATCTTAGTGCAAAGTTTAGTGGTGCAGGTGAAGAGCCATGGGTGGGAACAGTTGGATTCCACTGCAGTAAGAAAAAGAATAGGAAAAATTTCCGACCTAAAGCGGATGATGAAGGGGAGGAGGAAGAGTCCTGAAGAATGGAGTTCACTGGAAACATCCAAGGACTTGTATTTGGATATGTCTGGGGTTTTTTTTCTCTTTTTTTTTTTTCTGGTCTGGAAACCACATAATAGCTTTTTGTCCAACAGTTTGCATTGTGGCCACCAAGAACATTTTATGCTGTTAGAAATTAAGCTCCCTAAAACAAACTCTTCAGACTTCATGTTCATGAGAAGTCTGTGGGCACAGGATAGTTGCAGGAGCGAATAAGGTGTGCTTTGTTTGCTTGAGCAGCTCCCTGGGGATTGTGCTGGAACTGAAGTAGCCAAAGAAAGGTGTGTTAGCTGAAAGGCTTCCTACTAACACCCACATTCAGAGCGGTTCCCAAATCCTGGAACAATGACAATGAGTTCGTGATACAGAGATTTTTAAACAATGAAAATAAAAACGTAGTCTTCCACTGGATGTGCTTTATTGTGTCCCCGTCCCAGGGAGGAACACCTTTACAAGCTTTTAACCTTTGTTTCTGTTATTTGTTTTTCTCCCCCTTCAATACATTGTTCTGTCATTGCCATTGAGAGTGAAAGCACAGCAGCACCCAGTCATGAGTTTGGAGGGACTGGTGGGAACTGGCAAACCCAGTTTTTTGGGGGGTTTAATATTTACCTTATTTAGTGTTAAATGATAAAGATTTAAAAAACCACAATGTTTCCTTTGGAGAAGTACAGCTGGATACACCCTGCTGAAGACATGCTCAGGATGGCTTCAGCAAAGTCTCCCTATGTTGAGTGTAGGTCAGAATTTGCAGTAGCTTCAGTTGTGAGGTTGGGCAGCAGCTTTTCCCCTTGATGATGATCATGGTATGATGCCATGATTCTTAGCCTGCAGGTTTGTATGTCCTTTCCAGATGGCACTGCTTCCACACTGATAATGTGTGTTCATTTGGTGGGAATGAGGTATTTATACCAGAACCAAATACTCTTTTATTCTTTGGGATTCAGTAAATTTTCAGTGGTAACTGGATTGTCATCTCTTTGAGCCATGCTGATTAACACAGCTATAGGAGTTTTAACAAATACTCAGTTTATTTGATTTTAGAATTCTCTTGAAAATCTAGAATGTTACAGTAATGTAACATCTTGTAACTTCGCCCTTAAGTCTTAGTTTAAATTCCAAAATTGACTTTTTTAATATTTTCAATCATTTGACAATATATAGTGAATCACCTCATAGGATGAGTCACCTTATACAATGAGTCACATTGTAATGAATGTCAAATATAGTAGTTTTTCAAACAAAATGTTAATAAATTTTATAAATAAGGTTGAAAGATTAAACTCCCCCAAAGGCTGTATGATTTGAAACTCAAATTAGTTCAGGTCAGTTTGGACTGACATTTTTTTTGCCAGTATTCTGAATTAACCAAACCCAAAGTTGTGTAGTGAAAGAGTACTTCTTTAGAATTTGTGATCTCCTTGTTAAACTGCTTGCTTAAACTGTGAAGGATCTTTGAAGAAGTTACTTCGGGGGGGGGGGGGGAGGTGTCATCATCTTACCAATAGTTGACTGGTAGGCCCAAGTGATTTACATCTTTGTGTTTGAACAGATGCATCATTTGCCAGCACAAGCAGAAAACAATGCAAAATAAGTAATATTGTTCCATCTTCTGAAATTTGCCTTTTAATTTTAAAAGCAGAATGTATTTTCTCATGAGTATACAGTTTGATGCATGTTCATTAATGGATCATTGCTAAATACATCAGTTGTTACAGTGCATGTGCGTGGGACATAGCAGCAATTCCAAACGGATTTTGATTTTTAGTGGATAATTAATGTGGCTGATGACAATTAAAATAGTAGTTGTTTCAGAATGGAAGCTGCTGCCAAGAGCAGGGCATGCTGGTTGCAAGATAGGTGTTATTTCCTAACAAAACAGCCCAGTACAAACTTACTGGGTTTATGACTAATGCTTGCCTGGGGTGAAGAACAGGTAGGACAATACCAAGATTTTGTCACTGTTAATGGCGTCACTGAGGTCTACGGCACAGCTGAATAAACCAGACAAATGCCTGTTTTATGATGACATTGTAACAAGACTATTACCTATTAATAAAGGATTTATGCTGGAAAGGTATTTTATCAGATCTGAGATCTTCCCCAACCTCTGGTAATAGAGAAAGCTTTTGCACAAGCTACATTCATGTTGCATAGAAGCAGTGTTACACGCATGATGAAATGCAGTTCAGTTGAAGCTTATCAGTGTAAGAAAAACCACAACCCAATGCTTACCACTTCTGATGTTGTTGATATTATTCCAAAGAAATTTCCTTTTAAAGGACAGTAATGACATTCATTTTATTGGTGTATCTTTTCATACAAAATTCTATTAAAGACAGCTATCTTTTTTTATGTTGAAGCTGTACATGCCAGTTTAAGTAATGAAAAAAATGACACAGCCCAAATTCATAGTCTGTAGGAAAATTCTTGCTACATATTGCTGCTTTAAAGACTCCCAAGTCATTTTTTTTTCCGCCCTCATCTTTGAGAGAGAAAATTAAAGTGAAATCAGAAAATGGTTTAGCTGCAGATGCAGTGTTCCATGTGGTATGACATGTAAAGGGAAAGGCCTTTAGCAGCACCAAGCTGACAGCAGCTAGATCTGACATTGGAACAGAACAGCAAGCAGCAGAGGCTGGGGTCAGCCTGCGGGAGGGTCACCTGCTTTGTGTTTGGAAAGTGATTGCAAGCCATGGCACACTTGAGGACTGTGTGATGAGATTCCAGTTTCTGGAGATGAGGCAGGAGGCCTCAATAAGGAATACTAGCAAAGAAGTATCTCGCAGAAGCCAGCATGGGAAGAGAAGGTGGTGAGTGCAATCGTTCAAGGGTTGTAAGAACTACAGGAACTGTATGAATTGTAATGGTTCAATGTCCCAGGCCCTTTCCTGTGGAAACTATTACTTGATTTCCTTTCTAAGCAACTCAAATACAAGCTTGCTTTCTTGGCCAAGGAAGTGGCTTGCTTTTTAGTGTGTAAATGATCACCCTTCCAAAGGGAGATGTGTGGAAATGAGCAATGATGACGATGGATTGAGGGTGAGGTGTTTGGAGAATAGAAAGCTGGTCATATATAGAAAATAAGATGGTAGAGTCATGCTGGAGGAGAAAGTTTTTTGTGTGATCTGTGGAATGGAGTTTTGGACTGAGCAATATAGAATCAGGAGGGAAGAAAGCTCAAGCAACTGGAGGAGGAGGACCAAGAAGCCCTCTGACAGTGGATTGCTGTAAAGGCTTTGAAAGCCGAGCCTTAGGCTTTCATGAGATTAGGATTTTACTGCTAAATAGAGTAGGACAAAAGGCTTAATCTGAAGAGATGAGAATAAAATCTAATTATCAATGTATGTGATGTCAGCCTCAGACTGATCTGCACACTCTTCTCTTTCACTTCTTTCTGGCAAATGCACTTCTGTGTCGGCAGTCATCACACCTAGCGGGATCATAAAAATCATATGCTTGTTTAAAAGCCTTAAGAAAGGGGCACATGATAGTAACTGCTTAAGAATATTCAAAATGTTGAAGATAATCCACAATAAAAAGATCCTGTAGGTTCTATTACTTTGCGCTTGCTCAGTAAATGATGAACGTAGGTTTCTTCTTTATTTTTCAGCTATTGAAGTTTCTCGTATTTACATAGCTATGGTATTAACATGCCTGTGGAACATGCTGTAGGATGTTTTTTCTTACTGGAATATTGATAGTGAAGCAATTTACATATGTGTTTTATAAGCTTCTAAGAAAAGTCAAGTTTGAGGTTTAGTTTGAGTCTGAGTGATGTGAGGTCTTGTCATAGAATCATAGAACAGTTAGGGTTGGAAAGGACCTTAAGATCCTCAAGTTCCAACCCCCCTGCCATGGGCAGGGACAGCTCACACTCAACCATATCACCCAAGGCCTCGTCCAACCTGGCCTTGAACACTGCCAGGGATGGAGCATTCACAACCTCCCTGGGCAACCCATTCCAGTGCCTCACCACCCTAACAGGAAAGAATTTCCTCCTTATATCCAATCTAAACTTCCCCTGTTTAAGTTTTACCCCATTACCCCTTGTCCTATCACTACAGTCCCTAATGAAGAGTCCCTCCCCAGCATCCCTATAGGCCCACTTCAGATACTTGTCATGTCACAACAGAGTTTCCAGCTACTTCTTTTTCTCATGAAGTATGTACATGTTCAGTTTATGTTTTTTGGAGGGCTTTTTGTATAATAGACAGTAATAGGTAGATACTGAAATAGATCATTAAGAAGAATATCCAAAGTCTTTATTGTGTTGGATATCCTGTGGTGCTGAGAAAAAGTCTGTCTCTAGTATTTTTAAACTCCAAACAGTGGAGCCCTGGGTCACCGGATAAGATTCTTAACTGACAGGAGCAGTTGCATCTCTGAAGGCAAATGAGCTGTATTAATTACAATAAAGTAGGTGGTTTCCTTGATTTTCTTTTAACTATTATCATTATCTACATATTAAAAGTTTTGGTAATACTTCACACTATTTAATTAGCTCAAGAAAAGCCCAAGACAATCCTCTCAGAAATCATGTAGCAAACAAATACTTACTAACACGCTCAAAGTTGGGTGAGATCATTCTAACTCACACTAAGCACTTGGCCAAAAGCTTTTAAATATATTTTGCAAACAGTATTTTTTTTTTTCATTCTGAATTACAAATATTCTGTTCCTTGTTAGGTCTGTTATCAACAAAACCAGATGAAGCAGAGCTTGGAAACAGCCTAACCTTTTGTGTATGTTCACCCAAATTGCCTTAAGCAAGTCTCAGTTCAGAAAGGCTTTAAAACCATCTTTAGTTCCAGACTAGGTTTAGTTTAACTTTCATTTACATAGTAATTTTGAAAACCTTCACCATATGTTACTTCAAAGTTCTCAATCTGTATAGAGGCCCTTTCATTTTTTAACTAAATTGTTCAGTAGTCATTAGCTTCTCCATAATTGTTTTCAATACTTACATGTATAGTTTGGAACTGGTTGGTTGCACAAGAGGTTGGTTTTGATTAAAGCCTCCACCATTGAGGAGATAACAGCTGTACAGTGGCAAATCTACAAAATAGGTAGTGGTTTCTACATCAGCTCATTTTTGTACTACTTTACCTATTCTTAAATTTGTAAGAATGATAATCCAGGCAGCACATTGAAGCAGCTTCAGAGAGACCACATTATATACATATATTTGAGAAACAGTTGAACTGTCCTGAAGGAAGATTTATATTAAATATGTTCCCTTTTTTGTGAGTATATTGCATTATCTCGAGCTGGCACAAACTTATTAAAGCATTTCTTTTGTGTTCCTGTTGGACCAGTATTTGGTGTCAACATTGTTCATTGAATAGCAGGCTTTTTTTCAGCAAGCCATAAAATGGATAAAAAAGGGCGGGGAAGCAGCGATGGAAATATTAAGATAAAGAACTTCCAGCAAGGCCACAGTTACACTGGAGAGTTGTAG